TAATGAGTCCATCTGTTGCGTGCTTGGCGTATTTTATTTTATTTATTTATTTCATTTTATTTTATTTTATTTTATTTTTTGCTTCAAGATCGGCTGCCGGAATAGTACTTTCGGTAGGGTCTGTTCGCCGAACAAGTATGATGTTGCAACACCCGAAACTTGTCATGACCCCAAGTCATAACATCACTGACGAGGCGATCCTGTGCACTCGATGGAGTGTTTTTATGAAAAATAACAGTTTTTCGGAAGATGTGTTTTCAGGATTTGCGAAGAGTACTACCGCATTCGGTAATTTCTAGAGAAAGCAGGAAGCACTGGTGCTTAGATCTATAAAATATGTATGACTTTTTACAACACAAACTCTTTAATTGTCACTAGGAATAATCCAGTAATGCATTTTAATCAGATTGATCGAACATTATACACTGAAAATTTCAGATCAAAATTAAGTTAACTACGTATCAGGCGAAGGACATATTGATTCACCTCCTGGACTTAATACTCGAAATAGACGTAATAATTTTATATTGTTCGATTTTCTTGAAGATAGCATTGTTATAAATATTTGACGCCTCCTTCCTTTCTGTTCTTGCACTCACAATTTTTTTTGATTAATAATTATAATGCACCATCAAAAACGTTCGAGAATTGTTCGAGAAAAGCATTTAAGACCAAGTTTTTCACATAACAGGGATAAGATAGAAAAAGTAGTCAGAAAGAGATAATGATAATAACACCTCTTCTAAATCATCTTCCCACCCATTGCAACAAATATACACAACCAAATTTAAACTATTACAAGAAGTAACACTATTATTGCAATATGTACATGCAAAGTTAGACTCTAATAACAAATTATGCAGTCTGTTGCACCAATGCGTACACAATATCATTAAACTATTGCAACAATTACTTTTGCACACAACCAACTTTACTGCAACAAGTATTTTAATCTATTGCAACGTTTAATGTGCACAAAAGCAACTTTAGATACTTGCAATAATATGCATCGAAGCATTTTTTAGAATATTACAGCAAACAATATAGATTATTGCAACAATGTGTACATATACAATTTTAGATTAAGGCAGACTGTGACAACAATGTACCCACAAGCAATTTAAGACTTGCTTTAAGAATTCAGGGATTATTCAAACAATTTCGACAGAAACAAGTTAAGACTATTATCACAATTACTTTAGCAATTGCATAAATGTGCACACAAGCCGCTTTAGACTACTGCAATAGGTATTTTATACTAATCAATTGCAAGTATTTCACACAACGGCAACAATGTGTATGTAACTTCATAAAATGGCAGCAAGTTAGACGACTGAAACAATGTGTACACATGCAACGTATACTATTACAGCAAGTATTTCAGACTATTTCAGCAACGCGCATAGAATCAAATTTAGACTATTGCGACAGTTATAACACAGTATTAAAAGAATGTGTATCGAAGTAATTTAGACTATAGTAATACAAGCAACAAAAGTAAGATTTAAGAAAGTCATAAAGTAAATAATAATAATAATAATAATAATAATAATAATAATAATAATAATGATAATAATAAAGCTATCAAAATATAAGGAGCTTGAAATCGAAATCTCAAAAATGTGGCACAGGGGAACATCAACAATCCCCGTTGTAGTTGGAGCCCTCGGATTGGTTGGAAAAGATTCCAGTAGACTAATTGAAGGGATCACTGGAAACCCATGCCTTAAATTAATATAAAAAATTGTTCTCACGAGTAGAGCCCACACTTTAAGAAGGGCTTTGTCCATATAATTTTTTTTCCAGTGGAAAATGTCATGATGCTATTTCTAACCTTATGTCCCCGGCAAGAAATGAGTACACATCAGAAATCAAAGGAAATAAAATAAACATAATAATAATAATAATAATAATATAAGTACCTAGGAATTAGCGAAGGAGATGGCATACAACACTCCCAAATGAAGGAAAAAATAAGAAAAGAGTACTACAGACTTGTACGTCTGCTACTAAATACTGAGCTAAACTCAAAAAACAGAATATCAGCCATAAACACATTGGCTGTCCCAGTGGTGCAATACAGCTTTAATGCCCTTAACTGGACCATAGCTGAAATTAAGCGAATGGACGCCAAAACGAGCTTCTCACTTGCTATCGCATGCATCATCCCAAAGCTGATGTTGATCGTCTGTATGTGCCCAGATCCGAAGGAGGCAGAGGATTAGTTCAACTAGAACTGTCCTACAAAACTACAACAATTGGCCTCCAAAGATATTTGGAAACTACAGAAGACTGGATGATGGTATGCGTCAAGGAACATGAAAGTAGTAAGCGTCTTTACTCCGTAATGAAAGAAGCCAACAAATTCAAGATAGAGTTTCAAATGGACGTAGAGATGCAACTACAACACAATACACCGACTGAAAATGCAAAATACCTAAAAAAAGACAGCAAAGACGAATGCAACCGACCAGTTACAGAAGCGATGGCAAGATAAACCGCTTCATGGCCAATACTCTGCCCGTACCAAACAACCTGACGTGACAAAAACCAATATCCCATCAGTGGAAAACGCAAGTGCAGGGGGGAAAAACGGAAACTGAAGGTTTTATCCTACAACAGAATTCAAAGAAAATTACACAAGAACAGATCAATCAAGGCCAACCGCCCAGATATTGTTATTAAAGACCACAAGCAAAAAAAAAGTGCCTCCTTATTGATATGGCAGTCCCTGCTGACTGCAATGTATCTTTGAAGATATTCAAAAAGTTGTCAAAATACAAAGACCTTGAAATAGAAATAACGAAAATGTTGCATATGGGAACATCAACCATCCCTGTTGTAGTTGGAGCCCTAGGACTGGTTGGAAAAGATTGCAGTAGACTAATTGAAGGGATTCCTGGAAGTCCATGCCTCAAGAAGATACAAAAAATTGTTCTGACAAGTACAGCCCACACTTTACGAAGGGCTTTATCTATGTAATTCTTTTTTCTTTTTTTTTTTTCAGTGGAAAGTGTCATGACGCCATTTCTAACCTTAGGTCCCTGGACGGGACCGGGAAGAAATTTGTAAATGCCAGAAATCAAAAGGAAAAAAATAATAATAATAATAAAAGCTGACGTAGACAAAACCCGTACCCATAAGTGGCTACGTAGTGCAGGGTTGAAAGCTGAAACTGAAGGTTTTATCCTTGCTACACAATGCTTGCTAACTAGTAATTATCAAGCACATATACTAAAATATTGTGTCAGCCCAAAATGCAGATTCTGTGATAAATATCCAGAAACGATTGATCATCTTGTATCAGGTTGCACGATACTGGCACCCACTGAATATAAAACCCGTCATGACAGAGTAGGCCAATATCTGCACTGGAAAATCTGCAACTTCTACGGAAGGAAACTGAAAGAAACTGGTATGAACAGCACCCAGACCCGGTTACGGAGATAGGACCTGTTACAATTCTATGGGACTACACAATACACACTGACAGAACAATCAAAGCCAACCGCCCAGATATTGTTATTAAAGACCACAAGCAAAAAAAAAGTGCCTCCTTATTGATATGGCAGTCAGCAGGGACTGCTGACTGCAATGTATCTTTGAAGATATTCAAAAAGCTGTCAAAATACAAGGACCTTGAAATAGAAATCTCGAAAATGTGGCATATGGGAACATCAACAATCCCTGTTGTAGTTGCAGCCCTAGGATTGGTTAGAAAAGATTCAGTAGACTAATTGAAGGGATTCCTGGAAGTCCATGCCGCAAAGAGATACAAAATAATGTTTGACAAGTACAGCCCACAATTTGCGAAGGGCTTTATCTATGTAATTTTTATTTATTTATTTTTTTTTTTTTTTGTCAGTGGAAAGTGTCATGATGCTATTTCTAACCTTAGGTCCCTGGGCGGGACCCGGAAAGAAATGTGTAAACGCCAGAAATCAAAGAAAATATAAATAATAATAATAATAATAATAATAATAATAATAATAATGGAATCTTTTCTATCTAAAACTTTGATGATATTTCAATATTCCGAAGAGGATCCAAATCCCATTCAAAATATTATTAAAATTATCGATTATTTTTTTTACTTATATTGGTAACTTAATGCTCATCGTGGTTACTTTCATCCGTTGTCTATATATATATATATATATATATATATATATATATGTTCTTACGTAAACGATTCTTTGATACCATATCTATTCAGCATTGATATTTAATTTTTTTTTTTTTTTTTTTTTTTCTCAAAATTTGGAAAACTAGATAAAAAGAATTCTTCTGAAACATTTATTCAGAAATTTTTGAAGTACTTATATCAAAAATAAGAATAGATAAGCGTTCGGGCATATAAGAAAATGCACTGTCTTTTTTGTTTATATAATTGTTCGCTAGAAAAAAAAAATCTTTTTCGTATCTTTGATTTGAATATTTCACGAAATAAACCATTAAGACTTTTCAACTTGAGTTGAAAATGAAAAAAAAAGAGCTTTCCTTTGCTAAGGGCAGATAACTTGCGACAAAAGTGTTCCATTTTACATTTATGAAACTACAGTACAAAGCTGCAAGTGTTCAGCATCCTGTAAGTATTGAACTTACTAGACGAATAAAAGTCTGAATATTGATTTTTTTTACTAAGCTTTCTGAGATAATATAAAATGAATAATATACCCATATCTTCAAAATTGACGGTCACATAGCAGTATTTTCATATTTTATCATGACAACGCTGTTACTTATAAAATTACTATTTCTTTGGCAGCGATAATTATCTAGGATAAATTATAGCGTTTTATTTGCCAAATCCGAACTAACAAAAAAAAATTGCTTTTTTTTACAAAGTCATCGGAGAATTCTTATACAAAGAGATGTCCGAGTTGCGTATCGTCAAATTTAATTTTTTTTTTCATAAATATTGAAAAGTGTCACTCACAAAGGGTTTTTCATTTGTTACTGAATATGTGGGATTATATATATATATATATTCATTGAAGCTTACAACACCTGGTATTCTGAAGTGGTCATCCATCTCAGTACTGACCAAGATCGACGTTGCTTTACTTCAGTGATCATACAAGAACCGGTGATCCAATGGTCGTAAGTCCACCATTTCGTGGAAGAGCGCAAACGACCATATTATTGAACAGTGAACAGCATCAAAATAACTGTCCAAAAAATTACATTTCGCATGAAATCCTGGAGGAGCTCGGAAGATATGCAGCATTTCTGAAGGTTAGTACAGGACACAGAGGTTTGGAGAGGACTGAGAAGGGTTATTTACAAAGTTGATGAAAATTAGAAATCACGGTGATTTGTAATGTGCCCTCATGTAGAAACAGTTCTGATGATAAAGACAATTGTTTAAATTTGATTTTGTGGGAGAAAGAAATGACTTCGGTTCTCAGCCTATTAAAATTTTGTAAATGCTTCCAATTCCGTAAAAAAAAAATTAACACTTTGCCTGTCTCGCGCATCAGATGTGATGCACAGGACATGTGATTTCCACGTCCATGCAACATATAAGGTGCACATGAGCCATGATTTTAAAAGAGTGGTCAAACTAAGGATGCTTAAGAAAAGAGTCTACTATTGAGCAGGATGTCTGAGGAAAGGCCCAATCTAATATTTTGTTTATCATATATGACCACAAAATGCTTGATTGATAATGTAAGGTCTCAAATGAAAGACATCTATACTACACTTTATTGAAATGATTATAACTTTTGCATCACATGTGATTCACAGAGCGTAGTGTAAATAACTTATGTGACGCACAGGTTTTTATTATGTAAAACACTATATATCAGCACATTTTTTTGACAAATAAGCTAAATTGCTTTACAATAGTTATAAATCTGAAAACAAGCATGAACATTAGGATAGTACACACAAAAATGACCTGACCTGGCAAAGGGTTAAAACTAGCACTACAATAGAAACTTAAAAACAGAAGCCTTGCAGCTCCAGCCATTTATATTATAAGAATCCAGTTTTCAATATTTGTGTTTGTTACCATAACACAACAAAAAACAACACAGCAAATTTTGTTTGCCCATTACTAAGAGCTCTCACTAATAAAACAATTTCCATTACATGTCAGTCACCATTTTCCAAGTAATTTTTAATTTAGTACAAATTAACATAAAAGTAAAAGGTAATCTATAGGATATAATTTATGATTTGTACGTTCGTTTCATCACATGTGATGCGCAAAATTTTATTAAGTGAAACACTATATATGAGCACATTCTATTAGCCAAATAAGTTGCCTTGAAGCATGAACGTTTGAACACAAGAAAATGCCCTGCACTGGCAAATGGTTAACAACGGAAAATTAAATTTTAGAAGACTCGTGAATAAGAAAAAACAGGAATTACTCGTACAGGGCTTTGATAGTTATAATATTGATATGAGTTGTCTCTAAGAAATTAAAATTACTCGATGCGAAAGGACATTAATATTAATATCGGAATTTGACAGCACAATTTAATAGCTTTGGAAACATGCAGTACATACTACAGAAATAGTTGTGTCATCAATACCAAATGGAAGTATCACATCCATGGGCATTGAATCAACAACCATAGTATTCACATCAATATATTTTCATCAGTTCCCATGAAATATTGAATAGCTCTGAAGACCTACAGATCTTTCCCGAGTTGACACAGGACAGGGAGGTTTTGAGGGGACTGATAAATTGCAGATGAGAATTCACACGTTTGCAGCGTACCTTCAAGCTCTAGATGATGATGATGATTGTTTCAATTTTCGTTCCCTCCTCCTGCTTATCTGATTCCATCAATAAAATAGTATTTCGGCTGAAAAAGGCCTAAATGCTCTACATGTGAGTTTTCCATTTTGTCATGGGTCTGATATATACAGAATTTTTATATCATATTCTCCGAAATAAATATATGTGTAAATACATTCGTTCTGAACATGATTTATGCATAAGAGAAACCCCGTACATCAAACGCCTCTCCTTCACCATCAACTTCACCTTGTTTAACAAAGGGAACGTCGTGCTGAAAGTCTTAAAAAAAACAGAAAGACGCCCACTCGAATTCATGCCATGCTCAACTCTCGAGGGCTCGAAATTAACCAGAATTCACAAATAATGCATCTCACAAAGTCAAAACAAGAAAATAGACTAACAACACCATAGCAAAACACGCTTGAAAATGGCTAAAGAAGTGAGCGAAAGCATATATATATATATATATATATATGTGTGTGTGTGTGTGTGTGTGTGTGTGTGTGTGTGTGTGTGTGTGTGTATGGTTCTTCAAAGTAAAATGTTTAAGAGAATTATTTGAGACCATGAATTCCTGAAGAAGACTGGCTTCACACAAGTTGATACACGTACGTTGATCCCGGCTTCTTGCATTCCACTCAATTTTGAGCAAATTTAAATGCAATGTCAATCGTTATATTCTGTCTTTTAATTCTAGTTATTTTCCTCTCTCCTTAATAGTAGTATTTACCATATTCTCTTGGTTACAGTTTCTGGGAGAGAGCGTATAATGGGATTTGGGATTTCGCGAAACACTCCCATCAACCAATTCCAATCACCAGGCTTAGTTTAAACACTGGTATACTTTTCAGATACTTTCCACACTTTCACACACACACACACACACACACACACACACACACACATATATATATATATATATATATATATATATATATGCTCCTGAAAAAATTATTTTGGTTGAGCTCTCTGGGGAGGAAGTGTGGGTTTGTAAACACTGACTATTACGGCTAATAATGCAAGAAAATCGAATCGAGTTCTCTCAGTCTCTGTGGGTTTATCTAAAATAAATACGCTTAAATTAACCTTCGTTGTTGTCGTGCGCGAACGGCTTGACGGGTAGAAACCCGACTGACACCAATTTAGTCGGGTTTCGAAGTTAGAGGCAACCGGACGTCTAGCCACATTGGTGATCTGTGAGACAGTCCGTCTGTTATGACAATATATATATACTTTTAAATTCGCAGACATGGAAAAAATTTTAAAGGTAATTTACATTAACCAGAAAAAAGGCTTAGACAGAAGCGTCTATCTTTTTAAAATTGGATTTTTTAATGTAACTATAACAAAAACTTTTCGATTTCATTTTTGCCTTGAAAAAGTCGGAAGACGAAACGCGTCGGCAAAATTTAATATTTTTTTCGAATTGTCATTTTATGCCATATATATATATATATATATACTTTTTATTTTAGGATATTACATCAACAACATGTCAAAATCGCTACACAAATGCAGTCGCGCTTCGATGCGAATCAACACGACTCATCAGGCGTTACTAAATAACTGGTGAATAGACAATTTATTGAGGATTTAAAAACAAAATACAGACTCTTTTCACGAGAAAAGGAAGAAAAAGAAAAAGAGCGAGAAGGAAAGGAGAGGAGATGGTTACAGTGTTTGTTTTGCTTTTACTCAGATTTACTCATTCAACCAATCGGAATGGCCTACACTAAATTCAAAGTATGGGAAGAAGCAAATGTTAAGAAGCGGCCGCCCAAAAGGCCCTGCAGATTTAGAATCATTTTACATACACACACACACACACACACACACACACACACACACACACACACATATATATATATATATATATATATATATATATATATATATATATATATATATATATATGCTCCTGAAAAAATTATTTCGGTTGAGCTCTCTGGGGAGGAAGTGTGGGTTTGTAAACACTGACTATTACGGCTAATAATGCAAGACGCTTCGGTAAATCGAATCGAGTTCTCTCAGTCTCTGTGGGTTTATCTAAAAATAAATACGCTTAAATTAACCTTCGTTGTTGTCGTGCGCGAACGGCTTACGGGTAGAAACCCGACTGACACCAATTTAGTCGGGTTTCGATCCTAGCTAGAGGCAACCGGACGTCTAGCCACATTGGTGATCTGTGAGACAGTCCGTCTGTTATGACAATATATATATACTTTTAATCTCCTTGTTGGCGTCATCGACTTCCTTGGGATGAAGTCCGGGATTGTGTTAATTCGAGCAACGCCAAAGTTTTGCTTCTTTAACGGCATATTAACTTCTTATGAGACAGTTAAGACCGAAATTTAATTTTCTTGTGGGTAACAGTAATTTCTTTGACAAAAATGTATTGCTGGTGATATCTTTTTTTTTATTAAAATGTATTGTTGGTAATATTTTTCTTTACAATAAAATATATTGCTGGCACCCTCACTATAAAATATATTTCTATACATTCATAGTGTTTTGGAGGTTAACTATTTGCCCATTGTTGGGACCCTAACAGGTGCTACCACACTGGGTTAGGGTGGACCAGGAAACAACAGCAATTAATAGGTCGTTCCACGCTCCTAAAAACCTTCAGATCATAGGCCTTTTTTATAGTTTATCATCATAACTATGACGTCCAAATAAATAAGAGCATAAACATATCAACATGCAGACCGCGTGTAACTTTAGTATATACATAATCGTGTGCTTATTTTTTACATTGCTGATTTATCTCTATGTGTGTGTAAATTTATTTTCGTGCGTCTTACTGGCTGCTTTTATGCGACGTGTGTTTATCACTGTATTGTGGCTATTTTTTTTCAAGTTTGTTATAAGGCGAGCATTAACTTATTCAGTCGTTCTAGTGACTGCCTGCGTGCATATTTCCACATAGAAAAGCACAGATTGTGCTTGATTTAACAACTGTATAAAGGCATCAATCTTATGTCTACAGACAATACTAACGGAAAGCTGTTAGCTGCAGTGTGAAATGTGACAAGGCACAGTCATATATAACTTTATAAGCATCAGCACCATACAAATGTACGATATATATATATATATATATATATATATATATATATATATATATATATATATATATATATATATAATTATAACCCACATGTGAACAAACATCATATACACAGGCTGTATCAAAAATACGTTTACAAACGTTCGGAGCGGGGTCCTCACACCAAAACAAGGACAAATATAAACATATGTCCACAAAGGTTTCGGTTTACGGTAGATGGCGCTGTGTTGCCATGAAGACTAGGTTACATTTGTCTCCAACGTTTAACGTGTGTAGTAAT